AAAATTTAAGAAGATAGGTGAAAATGTTGATAGAGGCAGATGAGGAGGACAAGGAACCAGTTTTCTGATAAATTATATGAAGTTTTTAATTATATAGTTAATGAGTATATGAAAAAAAGTTCTGTAATTTGTGAAAATTTAGTGATTTTATGACCAATCATAAGTAATTATAAGAGAACTTTATTGCTTAAGATAGATCAACTTCCATACTTCCATTTTGACTATCGCATTTTGATTGACTGTCATTTAAATACGCTGTAAATGTGCAGTGAAAATTTGATACGGTCAGTATATTTCTAATACACTGTAAATATGCAATGAAAATTTGATAATATCGAAGTTTGATCTAACATTTCCAAATGAGGCAGAAAAATACTTTTATTAGTTCAAATCACTTATATTTTAATCATAAAATAGATTCCAAAATTGAAATATTTCAATAGCTAAATATCGAATTATGACTAAAATTCTCATAGTCCATACGAATAAAACTGATAAATGACCATTGTGATAATTGACTTATGTCCTATATCAATCTGAATGATAGCCATATGTTAATATTGTTTTTTTTTTTTTAATGCGAACAATTTATTTGAAAACATTTAAATAATTTTATTTAAAAATTTTTCATTACCAAAAGTATTCTCAATTGTTCGTGTGTATTTGACAAATGAAGAGTAAACTCAAACATAAACTGAATTTAACTCTTTTTTCTCAAGTTTAAAATCACTTGTAGATGATTGAAATGAATTTGTTGAAATAATGTGAGAGCAACTGACAAAGATATCAAACGAAATAGTTTGACCAACTGACAATGAGTGAAGAACCATTGGTTAAAGTTTTTTCTTTTCGAAATATTTCGCAAAATTGCTTCTCCTAATAGTTTTCAGCATTACAAAAAATGGGGAAGAAAAGAGATTTATAACGAAACAAAGTTGGCAGCGACTAATTACAACAGCAAAAGAATGCAATGATAAAAAGAATAATTGGTTTGATTCCGTCGAGAGTTGGAGAGATTTTGGTTCTGATCTAACTTCAGTGTTTGGAAAAAGCTATAGTCTACTAACATCACTGATTATCATTTCAAGGATACCATCATTGATCATCATTAGATAGGACTACTAATTGCCAACTGTTGGCTCAATTTTTGTGCTGATTTAAATGTGAAAAAGACTACTTTGAAATGCACAAGTTTAAATAAATTAATTTAAATTAGGTTAGAAGTTACTTCCAAATAGTATTTGTTGTTGCTGAAAGATGTGATGACATAAATGAACAAGGATAATGATCATTTACGTCCCGAAATTAATAATTACAGTTCTAAGAAAATTTTAAAAACTCAAAGTGCTAAAAACAATGATAAAAATGAAAAATTTTAAATTTCTGACAAAATATAAAATGATTTTAAAAGAAACCATCGATTTTCACATTATCATTGGTTGCAAAGATAAAATGATATTTGTAAAAATAAAAATTATCTGATTACCCAAATAAGAAAAAAATATATTCAAAATTAAATGAGCAAATTTTGTTTGAAAATATTGCTATTTTGGAGAGAAAGAGAACAAAATTTGAAGTAGAAAAACATGAATAATATTTGGAATGATATGCATACTATTGAATATGAAAACTATGAATTCAAACTTTTAAATCTTTCATTACACATTTGTTATCTTTTAGACGATCTGTGCTATTTCCGTTGTATGTGGGAGGACATTTACTGTTTCCGCCTTCCTCCCTCCTTTAACCACCTCTCCCGATCATATCCTGTACTCTTTACAGCATCTCCTGAAATTAACACTTCATTTATCCCAAACAAGAAATAGTAAAGAATGCTACCGACATCGGAATTTTCTCCCCTCCAGGGATATATCATCTTAAGCCCTTATGAATCATTTCTTTAAAAAAAAGAAACTCATCTATATGTTTGGATATTTTTTGTTGCATAATATTCGTAGTTCATCAAAATATTTCGCTTGCAAACAATCTCCCGATACTATTTATGCCGATTTCAGGTTTGAAATCGAGAAAGAAAGAGATAAAGAAAGCAAACTTTCAACTGAGCAAAATAACAAAACAACAATCGGTTTAAGGTCCAAAATAATTGGAGGATGGATAAATGATCCTTTAGCTTAAAATTATTTAAAAATAAGGAAAAAACTATGGCTGATTATTCCCTGTCAAACATTGATTTAAACTTTACCACAAAATTATACATTAATTTCTGAAATTGCTACAACTTTTGAATCAGAAAACAAGAAATGGATAAGGAATAATTGAAGTATATAGTAATGTTGTCATGGTAGCATATGCATATATATTATATATATATGTTTGTGACTATTGCAGTAATTACGATCAGTTATGAAGCGATTATTAGAGTGTTAATTATATTACATTAAGAAAAGAACGGTAATAATTTTCACATTACTTATCTTACATTTTCCATTACAATTTTTTTATAAAAAAATACGCAAAAACGTGCGCTGCTTGGTTAATAAAAGAATTTTGACGTATAAATAAATCATAAATAATAGTTGAAAATTCCATTTTCCCATTAATAAATTCGGTCGTCTTTAAGTGGTTTCTTTTACTTCCAGCAATTTGAAGTTTTAATCAAATAGCTACTCTATCGAATGTTAGTTTCGTTTATTTAAAATTTCATCTCTTTAGTTAATTATTATTGAGATGATTGATCATTTGGATGAATCATAATTATTCTCTCTGAGATATTCAGCATACTCAATATGTATGTATTACAACAATCTACTGACATGAATGTATTCTTATCTCCTCAATTAATATTCGAAAAATTTGATCTTTTTCCAGATACTTTTTTCACTTTGAAAGATAAAAATATCTTTGGAAAATATTTTGTTAAAAAAAGAAAATGATGAAGAAGATAGGACTGAATTAATTTCTTGGAGAATAGATCCGGTTATGATAGAAAAACGGCAAGAAAGAGATTTCTTGAGGGATAATTAGCAAAATGATATCTTCTTTTAGCAAATGAAATAGTTTTCAGCGATACTTTATTCAGATGATTTAAATTAAGATGTTTAAAATTGTCATATTTAAATGTTCATGATCATGATAGTCATATATATTTCTTTAATTGCTCATAACTAATTTGCTAAACGTGATAAATTTCACTTCTGTGAAACTTTCAGGATAAGTAATTTTTCCGAAGAATATAAATTAGAGGGATAGTTGGAAAACCAATTTGAAGCTTGGATTTATTCAGAGGAATGTTTTTACTTTTGTAACAAAAGAACGGAACACGAAAACTTTCTTGTAGTTCTTTCTTCCTACAATGCCTCTCTTGGAAAGATAAAAATTTGGCGATAAGAATGCATCCAAAAAAAAATCATATCCTAACAAATTAAGGATTTTCATTTTAGCTCTTTCCTTTTTAAATGCTAACAGCCGGTACATTTTCTACGCGTTACTTTTGTTCTTTCTTATCACTTATTTCAATACTTATCACTGAAGGCATTAGATATGAAAGATCAAAGATTTAAACATATCAATACAAAGCTGCGCTAATCATCCCACATTTAATGTTTTCATAAGAGTCCTGAAAAGAAGCATTTCGAACCTTCGAACAAATTGAAATTATCAAACTTTCATCATTCACTTATGAATTCAGTGCCTTAGTTAGCACTCACTTTTGTGAAATGAATTCAGTGCCAGAGTTAGCACCCAAAACAAGCAATCCATGTCAAATGACGCCCAAAAATTATTTCGTGCCCTTGTTCAATCCTTTCATTGCAATAATGCGCACTTACACAGGTAAGCATTTATTCTATTTGTTCAAAATATGATTCTAGAAAATAATTTATGGCATTGACTTTTTGAGACAAAGTTGAAACTCGAAGAGTTGAAACTCTGCGAGAAATTGACAATATCAATATCCAGAAAACAATCGTTCTATGTTTTGGAGAACTAGTCTTAATTGATTCCAAATTAACTTGTCATTTAAAGAAAACAGTGATAGATGGATTCCTAATTTGTGCGAATTCATGAAAAGTATTGAAGGAAAGTAAATTTCAATAATAATCACACAGTCACGCGAACGAAAAATACGCTAGCGAAAAGATCAAGTAATATTTAATCATAGAAATTTTTTTAATCTTCAATAACACACGCTTAGATGGATTCCGCTTTTTATGTTAGAATACAGAATACTCCATGAAATATTCATTCTCATTCTGTGTGTTTAATTGGGATCGCCAAGTGTACGAGGCTTTATATTGACAGCGCAATATCAGTAAAACAATAACAATTGTCGGCTTTCAGAAGTCTGAGATACAAACCTTTTGGTCATTAACCTTAATTTACTACTAGATTATATCATCACTAATTTTAAATAAGAAACATTTATAGAAATCAAGCTGAAATAAAGAAAACTCAACAGTATGATAAAATCATTTATTGTGTGAGATATATCTGGAAATATTAAGAGTGTTTCCTAGGAAATAATCAACGACGACAAAACAAAACAATTTTTTTGTTTAAATTTAGTAAATAGCAAAGATGAATTTTAAACTAGACGATGCGTACGTAATTAAAATGAGGAAATGCTTCTGTTTAAAAATAATTCTGCTATTGGTCAATTGTAACACCATAGCAACAATTCGACAACAATCATATTGTGTGCAAATAAGAATTTTGAAGTGGCTGTAATAAACGAAATATATTTTATGAATTACAACTGAAAAAAAAAATCCGAACTGTCATCTTATAGATAATTCAAGGTGATCTTCCAAAATCTTCTTTTTTTTTTCAAAGACTTTTTTACAGGAAGTTTCTCTTCATAAATATCCAGTAACTTTAATAATAAATTCATTTGCTAAAGCGGATCTACAATTCAAAGCAAAAATTAACTCATTTAATGATTCCGACAAGACCAGAAAAAGTTCGCAATGTATGTCAGTAAATAAACATCTACTTGCAACAAGTAAATGAGCACAGAAGAGAATTAAATAAACATATGCATATCAAAGGTTATCAGACTTAAGAATAGGAATTTGGGAACTTCGCTGTCGACATGATGGTGTCAGCGGCTGTTTGGATGTACCGAGTTGAGATCGGCTTTCGATGTTACGCGCACTAGAACAAAAGTAACATGAATCCAGACTGGCTGATATGGCAGAATGATGACAGAATGATAAATTTACAGCGTGCTTTGCTTTCAATATATTATTCGCTAATTTTTAATAATCGGAAAAGTTATAAACTTCGGGAAGTTAGCAAACCAGATAATTTTACATTGAAAACGATGAACAAAAGCGAAGAGGGTAGAACAAGCAAGCTCCAGCAAATATATTATGTTATGTAATGGACGTATATGCGTTTTACGCTCACCTTGAAGGTGAACGCTTATCAGCAGAAGCACTGCATGCTAGCGTAATTCGAGTTGACTCCTCTCCTGCAGTTGGAGCTTCTGCACCGGACGATCCTTTGCGTGTTTTTTCACCAGTAGATCTCGATCCCGTCATCACATGGGTTCCACTTTCATTCAGTATCAATGATGGATTTCGCCTACGCGGCACCGGCGACTTCAAATAAGCTAAAATAAGATTAGTAGTCTTTCGTAAACATTACTCGAATTTAAATCCGAATGAAGTTTTAAAACTGAGAGTCTACAGATAAAGATGGATATGTTAATCATTCGAAGTCTCAAAATTATTATAAATATCCTTGAATAAGTAGACTCTCTACCAGATACTTTATTCAATAGCTGGAACTGCTGTTCTTTCCTCGTCATTCAATCTATAACAAAAAGAGATGGGAAAGGAGGAAAATGAAAGCCTTTTTAATTTGCGCATTACGGAGAGTATTTACAAATTCAAGGAAGCATATCAGTGCAATCAGGATGGCAAGTTTACTGATGTTGGATTATTCCTGCTATTTACATTTCAAAATAAACAAACTATTCTAACAACATTAATAAATTAAATTAGCTGCACAGGCACTAAACAATTGTCTACCAGAAATATTTATAAATAAGCACAAGTAACAAGCACAATCGCACAAATTTCAGAATATGCCAACTGCATAGCATTCGTGCTGTCACAAAACAGAATCACAATGAGAAAGTAAAGCATCCATTAGCGAAAAATTCCACAAAAAAAGTTTGAAACCAAAGAAATACCTGCCAAGAGGTTTCTTCGAGATCTTTGATAAGTTAAATCATTGCTGGATGATTGTGCATGTCGTATATCACCTGCTGAGCGCAAAGTGTATGTATCGAGCGTGGAATTTGTCTCAACTCTTTCCTGAACTGACTGACTAGTGTTACTGTTAGATTTCAAGTAATACTAAAGGTAACTTCCAAATAAGGTTAAAAAACAGCGAAAAAAATCGTACCGCAGTCTGACTTCTAACGTGTGGAATGGTTGTAGTTGTATTACAATCTGAATCAGAACAGGCGCTACTAACACTTGAATCAGAAAGCCTCCTGGGACGCACCATCAGTGCTATGCTTCTATCAGATCTAAAGTATTACAGTAAGCAGCAATGAATTCAATACCATATAGTGTAATAATTCTGCAAAAAGAATTTCTGATTCCCAAGTTACTATTGGTTAACATATTTAAGCATTTCTATCATCATTATCCTATTTCATTTAGTATAAATCTAAAAAGATTAAAGAAAATTACCTTTGTTGAGATGCTTGCAAAATAGCTGTCAGATGGTCAACAAGTCTCCTGAATCGTCTCACTGGACCAGCAAGAAGTGCAAACTGAACTACATACATTGGAGCTTCTTCACTTGACGTTGTTCTGTGAGCTGCTTGGACAATATCTACCTAAGAAATAATATCAAAAAAAGTAAGCAGTTTTCCCAAAATATGCACTTCTGAAATCAAAATCAACATACCTGCATTTTTACACCCCTCGAAAAAACACTACCACCAACAGTTGGTCCACGCTTGTACTCAACACGAAATGAATTTTGACCAACAACAGAGTGGCTAAGTTCATGAATCTAAAAACAAATGTTGAAATAAAAAGAATTCTGTTCTGATGTAAATACTTCCTATCGCATGACCAAAAAAAAAAGATGTGGCTCTCAGTATTCTTATAAATCCGTTCTTCATAAGAAGTAATGGCTGATTTTGAAAAAAAATTTTTTTTCAAATTTTGTTGTACTAACCGTTAGAAAAGCACGTATAAGTTCGGCTTTAATAGCATTCACTGTCTTCCCATGGGCCGGTATTATTTGAACATCATTTCGTTCAACACTTACGCTTGATGCAAGCGATCCAAACCATGATTTTTTCACCAGACTAAACGAACAAATGAAAGTTAACACTCATATTAAAAACATCCCAAGCAAGAAGCAATAATAGGAAAAATTTTAATCAAAAGATTAAATTTTGTCAAGATTTGTTAAATTAAGTGAGAAAAAACTTCGAAAGATAAGTTCATTAATTTTTATGTTACATTATTTTACCGTTTTGCAATATTTTATATACGTGGAAGCAATAATAATAACTGCACATCTTGTTAAAATTACTTACTCGGAGGATTCCAACATTTGATTTTCTTCAGAATCACTCTCTCCAGTTCCGCTACTTCCACTACTCAATTTCCTACGATGAAATCGTGGTGTTCCTAATAGAGAATTTTTGATATTCGATAACCGTCGCCATGGTCTCGATGTACTAATTGTGCTACCTGCAAAGAATAACGAACATTTTATGAAATGAAATGTGCATAAGAAAAACTGCACACGTACTTAAACTGTTTGTGGATGTGTTTGCAGAACCTATACTCGAACTTGAACTCATTCTTGTTTCCGGCATCATATTTGAATCAGCATGTGAACGTCGAGGATTCCTCTGGAGATGCTGTAAATCATTTATTTTTATGTGAACCAAACATAGAAATTTGCTTGCGATAATAGACTAAACCGATGAAAATGGAATCTCCTAAGATCATCAAGTTCATGATATATCAATTACATATTACAAGGAGCAACGCTAAACCTTGTCATCGATACTACTGCACACTCGTCTTGCCGCAGCAGCTAATGCCTCTGGATCAACTGGCTGAGTATAATAGTGATAATTACTGACACGCGCCGAAATCCTAAATATCCCATCATTCATAAGAACTTTTTCAAAATTTAATGTTCTTCGTTTTCTGAAATTTAGTTTTTTACAATTCTAAATTTTCACAAGTTTTTGATTAAAACAAGCCTTCCATGTTCTTCAGCTTGTGAAGCAGCATTACAGATTTGTCGTGAAGATGGCGTTAGAGAAGCAATATTACCGCTGATCGACTCAAGTGGTGATGAGCGTGCAGAACCATTTGGTAATCCACCAAGTGAGCAATGTCTACCTCTGCTGTATCGCCTAAAATTTTTTTTTCTCACATAAAATAAAAAGGAAGAGATTTGAAGTTCAGAAAATAAAAACGAAGTTTTAAAAAACTGAGTAATGAAATAAAACGAGGAATTCAACAGACTAATCCTAATACCCGTATGTTTTCCGAGGATTGATCGGAGATCCTTCACTGATTGAACCAAATGGATATCTAGAAGGTCTCGAAGAATCGGTACGTTTCCGTGGTGGATCATAAGTAAGATTGGAACCACGGAGAACAACCTGAAAAATTGCATTATTTTTGCGCTGTTTTGAACAACGTCTAAATTATCAAACTACTACTAATTGCTAAGCAAATGTAATTCCAAAATTGCAAAAAAAGACCTCGGTTTCATCTTCATGTGCAGGCCTGCGCCTTTTTCGATCTAACAACAGGAAATAAACCATTTTCTCCGTGTTATGTCTGCAACAGTCTAAGTTACTTTTTAAATAAAAAACTTCATACAAATTCAGAATTCCTGACTGCATAATAATGAAAAAAATATGTTGCATAGGAATGCCTTGGAGACAGCAATTCTCGAATCAATTTTTCTTTATCCTTGAAGCATCCCAAATTAGTCATATGTCGAAAAACATCCGAATCAATATTTTCTTCACTTGGAATTACATAGGTCTGAAAAAAAATTATTTTTGATGGGATCGATTCCACTTAATGACTTTTTATAAGGTTTTACAATTGCTTCTTATTATGAAAAATATAATTCAAAAATATGAAAAGTCACCTGTACAACTTGCGCCATCGGCAGTTCAAGTTCGAGTTCAGCTTTCGAACTATCAGCAACCCATGGGTGCTTGAATACTTCGTTCAACTACAGGTTAAACATATGAATTAATATGAATTGGCTTTATTGCATTAAATCGAATATGGTTTATTTTAAAATAGAGAATGAAAATCGAATACTCTTCTTTTGAAATTCTGAAGAAATTTTACTGCTATTAAAAAATAAAATGAAGCGAAAAATAATATCTCACGGAAAGCCGTTTTTGTGGATCAACTTCGATCATAGTCCTGAGAAGATTTTGGCAATCAGCTGGAACGAAATGAGGGATATGGAAAACGCCCTTCTTAACTTTTTCTAGCAAGTTACGCAGATTATCATCGTCAAAAGGCAAAGCACCCTATAAAATATTTGAATCAAAGATATCGAATCCACTTAAATGAACATTTATTTAATTTATTGCAATGATATTTACAAATAAGCCACAAATAACGGTGAGTAAGAAAATAAGTAATAAATACTACCATTGTTTGCCAACAAAAAATGATGACATTGAAAATGATGACGTTGAACAAATAAATAAACTCACAACTAATAAAGCATATAAAATAACACCACAGGACCAAACATCAGCTTTTCGACCATCGTATTTTTCTCCCTAAAAATCATGTTTTTGAATTATCTGAAAAATTAACTCCCAGCTTTGTTAGCCTTGATTTTCCCCATTGAATACCAAAAAATTAAATTTCATATAATTCCTATTAATGAGGAATATTTTTAGATACTAAAAAATTTCACCAGAAATATTAATTCCATGAAAAATTAAATTTTGAAAGCTCAGTACAATTGTTTTAAAGAATATAATTACATACCCGTATAACTTCCGGACAAGCATAATGTGGAGACCCACAACTTGTTTCAAGCATTGAACCTTCAACTTGCAAAGATGCCATCCCAAAATCGGCAACCTGAAACGTCTTTATCAGGTCTTCCTATAGTGCTAGAAATGAATTATACTCCTTAACAGTAATATACGAAGTATACTTTTTAATAGTGATATACTTATAGTAATATACTTATAATAGAACAAAGAATTTTCAGAGCTAAGAGAGATAAAGAAGAACTGCCCACCCAAAATCTTTAAAATTCATATACTTTGACGACAGAGTCTTGTATTAGCATATTAATGATATTAGTGACACTTCTTGTATTAGCATATTAATAATAATTGAAAGAATCAAGAAGAGACGAGCAATCGTTGAAAACTGTGTATAATTTTGAAAACAAACCTTAATATTATTTCTATCATCCAAAAGCAAATTTTCAGGCTTTAGATCTCGATGACTGAAAAAACTAATTTCTTGTATTTTTTGTCAAATAGATTTTTTACAATTGAATTTTTATAAATGTAAAAATAATTTAAATCGTAACAAAATATGCCCAAACATGACTTATTAGTTACAATTGATACTAACATGAATGCTCTTTTACTACATACAACACTGTTTAAATCGCATTCTTTCATACAATTGAAATAGAACGAAATCACCGATAAGAAAACTAATATCACTATTATCGCTTGCGCTAAGTGATTTAAGCGATTGAATAATATCATTTTATTCATATGACTGCCTTCTATTAACTGACATTATTGTATTCAACGAGTTAATGTCACTTATATAAATTTAAAAAAGAAATAAAGTTATTTGAATACTAGTTAATATTTGTTAGATTTTAAAATTTGAAAATCCGGGCAACATTCTCTTAATGCCTACGAAAATCACAAATAAACATGAACTGACAAATTCCGATAAAATCTTGACCAAAAGTGTTTTCAAATCAACTCAATCTCATTACAATTTATTTTACAAACCATATATTGTGAGCGTGACAGAAATCCAGAGCCGAAATAATTTGCCGAAAAAATTTCCGTGCTTCTTTGGCCATTAAGCGACCTTTTCGGACTAGATAATCAAATAATTCACCACCACTAACATGTTCTAGCAGTAAATACCTATAAGGGATTCGTTGAACTTTTGAGAACCACATTGAAAAAAAAAGCCTTTTTATAGGTACCAGCGCTTAGAAAAAAGTGGGCTAATTTTCCATACTCACTTATCTCTCCTTGAAAAAGTTGAAATTGCACTGTTTATTTTGTGCTTTGAAAGGTTTTGAAAAATCACGAGAGAACATTTCGAAAAACTAACAAATATTTCTTGTTTTCATATACATCATAAAGATGAAGCACATTTGGATGTTCAATTAATTTCATTATTGCAATTTCGCGTTCCACCTATAATATACTTATCACATTTTCGATTCAAATATGAATAAAAATTAGCTGGCAAATTTCAGTAGAATGGTAAAGGCGAAATTCTCACATAAAAATTTTCTCCATATTTCTTATTATCTTATTATTAATTTCAATATTCAAAAAGAGAGTAATTTTTTGTGATAATTTTACAACATACATCGAACACTCTCGAGTAAGGACAATGATATCAGTCATTAACGAAAAAAAGAATTTCATTTCATCAACCCGTTGCATTTCAATGGGTACAGTGTCGATGGTTAAACAACATTATTCGCATTCCGAATGTTTCATTTATCTTGTTGGCGCAGGTAACAGTATTAGGAGTTACCAAGTTAAGTTAATTTGTAAGAATGTTCAGAAATTGAGGATATTTACATTTAGTATCGAATATTTTAAATGTATATAAACCAACCTTTTGAAGAACTGATTCACTAAGTTTCTCTTTATTAACAATTTTTACAGCAACTTTGCGACCAGTGATACAATGTGTTCCCGTCTTTACAAGACCTGAAACTTGGATAAATCAAAGGTCAATAAACTTGCTTCCCTTGCAAAACTTTAACGTGAAATTTAATTTCTTAACTAATACTGGTACTTGTTTGCTCAGTGGCCGAGTGGAATTTATTCATCAGGTGCTGAGCTCACACAACCTGTTTAAAAACAGGTTTTTTTTTCTGATAAGATGGAAACAGCACAGAGTTCACAATCATTTTCAACTAGTCATCCAACATCTTCAATTTCAAACGCTTCTGTGACAGTAGAGTATTTTAATAGTATTGATAGTATTTGTTTCATTAATTCGATTTTTTTTGTTTCTTTTCTATCTCTTCCATGGAATTCAAATTAACTTTTTTCTTCCTAATTTTCTGAAACAATAATATTAGCCTTGAACTTCTGCAGTAATTTACAAATTGTTGCTACTGAATTAATTGTATTCACTTTACTAACTCTTTGAATTTCGTAAGACCATTTGTAAAAATTTTGTAGCTGTAAAAAACCAATGCCATTTGAAATCGATAGTTTCCATCAGTTCTTTTCATTTGGTGCTATGAGAGACAGCTGCATAAGCAGCTCATTGAAGACTAATGAGTGATGAAATGACACTGTTGTTAACTCTTCCTCTCCTTTCCATTCCCTTCCTTTTTCGACATTCCTATCAATGTATCGTTTTACTTTTTCCATTTGTAACACTAAATGTAGGCATTTAATCATTTCCACCTTATTAATCATTGGCCAATGGTAAATAACTTACTACATCTTTCATTTCACGCTTTTTAATGTCTCTATACGAAATATTAAGAGGTTACCGACAAATTCGCGGTAAATCATCTCTTCATTTTATATGGATCCATTAACTTTTAACCATCAAAAATATCACCCCATATGAACTTAGCTAATTTTGAATATCTTGAATCATGTACTTGTTCATTATAACTCAACTTTCTCAGTGTATTTCTCCATTAGTTGCTTAGATTTCAGCTCATTTCCCAATCCCGACTATTCAACGACTACTTTGATTTCTTCCATCTTAATTTTTACATTACATTTCGAAGTGAAATTGTTCGGCAGTTTGAGGCATAAAATCCCTCTAGAGGATTATCCCAAGTGAAAATACGCCGCTGTTGAATAGTGATTTGTGACAGATAGCATATGCATATATTTTAACTCTTTATTTTGATAATTTATTGTGCCAAATTTGAATTGACTAAAGTAGGGGACTTTTGTTACAATACGCATTTCATATCCGAAAAGTTCCCTCCATGAATTCTTTATAACACAATAGTGATGATTCGGCGATACATCTATGGTAATTTCTCCCTTGGTTCGTCAGTTGTGTTTTCTCATTTGAGATAATCGATGATGGTTATTTTTTATTATTGTTTTATTGAAGTAGCATTTAAAAATTGTCTTATCCCATCATAAGATAAAGTAAGGCCTTGTCTTTCGATCGAAAAAATAATAAAATAGAAGTGGACGGTCAATGAAAATTGATTCTAACTCAGCAGTGATTAAAAGTTAGATTCGACTAGCACTACTACTATGACAATATTTACTGGCTTTTTAGACACCAATAAAAGTTAATACGATTATATGATGATTTCATAACAAAATTTTGAAATCAGTAAGTCCACGACAAATACTAAGAAAATGCATATTTGTTAATAGATCAGGCTTACATTTTTAATTCTAAATAAATGAAAGAAATTAAAATGCTGTTGTAGGGTAAATTTCTGGTTTGGTGCATAAATTGACAGTTGGAAGTAATATAAATCAAATTTAAGAAAATGACATAGTACTGACTATTTGAGTCAGTACATATGAAAGATGTGTAGTAAAATGATCAGTATTAACGCTGTGAAAAATGGTTTTATGCCGAATGTGTTTTATTTGCAAGGCAAATGGCATACAAATTGCCATATCTTTTGAGCCATGAATTCTCTCTCATTGCCTAATTTCGTACAAAACTTTTTTATGAATTTTTTATGAATTAATGAAAAGAAACGGGCAATCAATAATGGAGAAGGTCAACCACTCTTTCCACGTGTAATATGGGGAGTAATATAGTTTGAAATGCTAACCTTTTTTCTTCCAGGAATATTTTCTACAGATTGGAAGCATTTGAATACAAGAAGAGGAGGAAAAAACATTTTTCAACTAAAAAATATTATGTATGTAAACTTGCATACCTCCCATTCAAAATGATTAATAATGGCTATTTTTGTTTTACTTTTTTGCGATAGAAAAAGTCTACACCTTTTAATTACCTAATAAAACATAAGAATTTATTCTCACTATTTCTTTCGATTGAGTTATTTTGCTTCGTTCAAAAATTAATTCTTTATCATCGATATTATACGGTAGTCTATTCTACTGATATAATTGGAAGTTGATTGAAATGAGACGGAGTCTCTTTTAGTGATGGCCACCTATGATTGTACCTGGCTTGAAATCGCGCCATCATTAGGAGATAAGAAATGCACCGAAGGCTTGCAGTGCATTTTTTATCTTCTAATGGTGGCGCCTATACTATAGTAGGTGAGACCATTAAAAGTGGCTTTTAAACAGTTTGCACCTCTATGCAATTGAAGTATTTTAATTATTGAATTACGAAATTAGAAAAATATGTTTAAACATATCTAATGAGGAAAAACTTCCGTAAAATTTCCACTAGTCTTTGGTTATTTCGCACTTAACCCCTAAGAGCTAATACTTTAAATCTATCCAAAGAGCACAGTAATATCGCTTAATAACTTTGGAAAACCTTCCTTTATACCTCTAAACATTGAAATAAAACCCTTTCAAAGTGATTGCAGTCTCTTACTTTTCATCTCTTCCTTTTCAATTTCTCCTATTTATTTTTCTTAGTTGCTGCCAGTCACTTCTGGATTTCTCTCAGTGCTTTGTATTGGCTATTTTCATTAAATTGCTTCAATACTTACAAACTTCAATTTTTTTTTTGGGATGAGATATTTCGAGTTTTATTTAACATCTAACATCTTGCCGTTTCAGACCGATTCAGGGATTAAAGGATCTTCCAGTAGTCATTTTTAATTTATTGGAATGATTTTATCAATTTCAAGATGCATTAAATGATGCATCTATTTAAAAATTTTTCCTGTGATTTTAAATTACTTGATTACATGAATAAAGTCCGAGAATTTCTTAATTTTAAAAGGAATATTATATGTAAATAATCAGAGACAAACAACTAGTTCAAGCGAAAGATGAGATTAAATAAAATATTGTCCATGTGGTTTTAAGTCCCAATCTACTACGATTAGGTAACGAATAATTGGGCAGTCCTTCCTGGACAGATTGGATCAATTTTAAATTGTCGATAATTATTCAAAGAAATGAAAACAAGTTAAAGCACCGCGCTGTCCGTTGAATCCAACTTGGGATAAAATATACTGATAACTAACTACGGCATCCATTTCATAAAATATTTGTATTATTGTATTCTTCGTTCGTTTTGGAACGCTAAGGTTTGCTATGTCCAAGTTCGAAGTATAAATAACAATTGCATATAGCACAGCCTCGTAAATATATAATTAAATTATGTTGACAATACATAATTACCAAGAAAGTCGATAGGGTTTTAAATTATTGTTTCAAGAATTACTTTTTATCCTACAATTGAACAACATTTTCGCATATTATTAATTGAAGGTCAAAGCTGAGTTAGCTTAACGTATGAAAAAATATGAACATACCCGTTTGACCTTTTCCAAGTGTTTTTTCAATTTTATATGGTCCACAGTATTGCGCTTGATGGGAAAGCGCTGCTACCACGGTTGTATTCGTTGCGCTACCATTACTTGCCGCTGTCATATCTGTAATTAATCAAACAGGTGTAAATGATATGTGGACTAGAAATATAAATTAAACAAGGGACTCGAAATATTTTATGAGAAAAGATTTAACGGTAAATTGAAAATCATTAGGAAATAAAACGTAATATGTAGTCAAAAATGTCACAGCTAATATTGTACCACTCTTTTCTTGCCCATAATGCTATCTGTAATTGGATGAAATACAAAAAGATTAAAACAAGTTATCTTACAAATATTATAAATTATGCAGACAGTAATGGGAAAGAATGAGGATAGAAAGACTTGTTCATCTCATGCTAACCTGTCATCATCTACCGCTCCATGCGCTGATTGCACAAAAGCTTAGCATGAGACCTCTAAGTCTCCAACTTACGGATATACTCTTTTCAGTGTTTTAGGAAAATCCCACAAATCTAAAAGTTAGAATATTAAAATAAACATTTGTTATTGACTGAGAATGAGAAATGCTACATGATTATTTCAAAATGAATCGTAAAAGTTCATTATTAATGATTTACACAAGTGTTGTCCTAATAAAAGCTTATTTAATTAGGAAATTTCGCTCTAAATAAAATAAAACATTAAAAGTGTCACTTTAAGTCTAATCTATCGTCTGTTAAATCATTTCATTTACCAGTGCAATAAAAAACTTTTTAAAGGAATTTAGTTAGATGGTTGAAAACTTTAACTTCAAAAAATTCTTCCAAATAATTCTGTAATCTTAAGTTTTTTAAAAAGAATACATTAAACAGCTACAGGTTTGCTTCAACCTAATATGGGATTTTAATCAGCACCATCACTCCTATATCCTTACAAAGATAACAATGATGATGATTATCGTAATCAGTAATCTCGTATTTATCTTTCGATAAGAATTTACCAAGTCTGAAATCTAGCTGTTTCACCGCGTATATCTCAAAGCCTTTGATGATTCGTCAATTTTTTCTTAGAGGAATTTCAGAAATTTTAAATTTTAAGCAAAATTAAAAGGGTCATAAATTCAAAAAATCTCCCGAATAATCGGTACTACTGTCTTGTAAAGCATTTTAATGATCCAGGAAATTTCTTCTACTCATAACATATTTTTATGAACCCATAGGCAACGCCATTTTTCCTTATAAAACGTTTGCAATTAATAACTAACAACAGAACTATAATATAGCTTTCTTTTTTACCATGTACTTTTTTAGTTTGAAATCAATAACCATCCCTTAAACTAATCTTACTGCTCGGAAATTTAGAACTTTGAATTTTGTTTGTCACAAATTACTTGTTCACTAATAGCAAAAATTTTATCTTCTTTTAAGAGTCAAGCTATTGAAACAATTTGCTACCACTATGTTACACCATTTTCCATCTTCCAACAGGCAACAATCAGCAAAAAAACGTCCAATTTTTCAAGACGTAAATACTGGAATAATTTCCTTTCTTCCCTTTCTTCAGTTTGATCTCTCTCATCTATTCCACAAGTCCTTGTCATATAATTTCAGCTTCTAATCAACTTATAACGATACGTGAAACAACAGGAAGCTCATAATGGATAAATGCCCCCAAGCGACGAAAACATATATATTGGAAATGTGTAAAGCTGCTAAGGAAAAGTATGCGATCGGAATTCGCTATTTTAATGCTTCTCTTAGCATATCCCGAAGATGGACAGCTGGACAGTTGTTCGTACATGCATGAAATGGAAAAGTTTTACTAGACAAAAAGAGGAAAACTATCAGTTGAGAATCCATCATTTTTAGATTCTCACAAGGGCAAAGTTATCTTCCGTGAAAATTTTTGCCAGAATGAAGCAGTGCTTAATTGTTAGTGTTGATGGAGGGACCAGACGAATAGACAAAACATGCGTAATTCCTCGAAAGCGATTAATGGAAAAATGTTGTATTTGCCAGTATTCCCTATTGAATGAGTTCGTCACTACTGTAAGTGAGAAAGTCAATCAATCATTTCTGGTAGCACCATTAAATGATGACGAAAATGAGGGGATACTGAAAAGATTGGTGGTGGTAGTTGGAAAAAAAGCTTTTTTGCTAGTGGTACTGTGACAACTGAGCACACATTTTTAATCTCAGGCTTAGCGAAGAATCTAAGAATATATGTCAGTGCCTTTGTTAACTTTTTCATTCAAACAAATTAATATTTTTTTTTCGTCACTTCGACGGCATAATTTCAAATCAATTTTCCCGCAATGAAATAACTTTCCTTTCTTGGAAACGAAAATATTTTGAATATTAATGAATTTGATTCTAAACATATTAAATGCTAATGCGAACTTCTCAATCTCAACGTCAACTTATTCACTTTGTTCAAATTGTTCTTTTCAATAAGATAATTGGCTATTTTTAATAACTTAGCATTTTAATTTTCATTTTATATTACAGTACATTATCGTTTACTCTCATGCTAGTGAAGAGAGATTTTTAATAGCTGCAACGTCGAGTAAATTATTCTGCAAAGAAGTTAATGATTTTAACTTAACCTGAAAATGTGTGAATTAAAAAAAAATGTTAGTTTTTCGAAGGTAGCCACAAATTATGATGACTTGAAAATAGTCAAATGATTAAAATTAGTGGAAGATCTAAAAAAAATTAGGAAGAAACAAATCTACACCACTTGCAATTATCAGTAGGGATTCCCTTTATTATATTTTGCTTTCAATATTCCCAAATTGAAATTAAAGTGAAGGTAAAAAAGTGTTTACATTTCAAACGTTATACTGATTCATTTCCGTATCTAACAAACATTAGGTATATAACTTCAATTAATCAGTCTAGACTTCCATTTGTTTGATTTCCTCCCAAGAGAAATGAGATTGTAGGATTACTTCAGTGAGTAAACAGAAATAAGACCCAGTTCGAAAGGTTTTATGAAATCTAATTTGTTTGATAACTGAATGAAGATATTTAGATAGTTTCAGGAATTATTTTTAGAATTCCAAAATTAATGAGAAGAATTCCTTCCACAACATTGCAAGATTGATAGAATTAGATCCTTTATAATTCTCAAATTAAAAATATTCGTACTATATCCTACAACACATCCCATCATCTGAAGACCATCGATTATCAATGGATGACCTCTTGCACTTATTTGCACATGTACTGATCATTAAGTTGTTTGCAAATGAAGGCTTACTGTTTTCAGCGTTATAACTCATTCTTGCATTAAGTTCATCATTAACAGCATTTAATTTAAGATTGATTTCACCAATCACCTGGAAAAAGAAAAACATGATATTCAGATGAAAAAAACTATTGAATAGTAAAAATTTATTGTTTAAACAAATTTGATATTTTGATCACAATTATAAATATATGCCATATTTTACTAATTAATTGCACCTCTTTGATAACGTCAAACATGGAATGCGAAAAGTGCACCCAGTGGCAATATACATCAAGAGATAGGCCACCTCAATCTCTTTCTTCTTCTATCCATCGACTCAAGCTTTCCTTGAATTTTTAAAAAAAAGGAATGAGTCATTATAACACAAAAATCAATTTATTATATGTAAATAAAAGGATTTAATATGTAAATACTACTTCACTACGTAAATGGAAAGTATAAATAAATATTTCGGTAAGCTATTACAAAATCAGTGACAAACATTACGAACATATCAGAACAATATAAAAGGGAGCATTAAAATGACGTTTAATGATTTAGTAAGTAATAAAGTGTTGAAATAATAAATGAAAATGAAAAGAAGTTGAATCATCTCCATTCACTATTTAATTTCAGAGGATAAGAGTGATCTTTAAGGCATGCTTGATGTTGTTTGGTTAGGCTTTCGCTTTGAGATGCTATCTTCTAGATGAGCGAACCCTCGAAAATAAGTTTAAAAAAATGCTGAGGATATGAGATGAAAAAAAGTGGGTCATGAAAGAATTGTTCGGAGTGCAGTGCTGTTTTGGACGCATTGAATGCATGATTGCATGTTGGGGCGCTGCTGTTGGATGTATCGCTCCGGCAACAAGAGGGACTTCTTTATTTGAGAGGGTTTTCGAGGAAAAAGGAAGGGGAGAGGGAGTGGCTGAGGGACAACATCAGATGGAAGGAACTGCATGAAAGCGGAAAGAGGCTTTTCGCTTCATGCTGAATGTGTATGTGTGCGTGGCTTAGAGGCCAGAATTAGTGGCGCAATTTTATCTCTTCATCTCTGCATCTTTCTGTCGCAAGCCTAGTAGTTTGTGCTTGTCATTATTTGGTCTCACCAGGCATTTTGTCGATTGAATAGTTTGTTATATTGGTCGCTGCTACTGCAACCTGCGGCATCTTCGGAGAAAGCATTGAATGTGAATGTGCACAGAATGACGACGTGGGCTTATTCAGGGAAGATATGCAGCCATTCCGTTATCCTGTTATTTTGCCGTACTTCATCTGGAACGGTGTTGGCTATTAGTATGTTGCTTTCACTGCCACTATTTGCTAGGCCTCTGAGACTGACTGACTGACTAGATAAGGGTGAAAAAATTTGAACATGCGGTACTGCATTCACTAATCTGAAGTCCATCTATGTCTAGAGTAAGCTTATCTGTAGTCCTTACTTTACGCTCTGCTTTCTGAGTACAGCTAACCATATAACGGTAAGCCATTTGACGTGCTGATCATTGACGCATAATTAATTGGTCAACATTATTATCATCAGACACAAATTATCCCGCCTCGAATGTTCTAACCTTTCTCGGCCCATCTTTTCTCCAAAATTTGTCTCTTTAACACAACTGATTTATGTTGATTGTTGGCAGTGTTGATAAAATATTATCAAATATGGCAACGAAAAGGATTTGAGTGCTGAACTTGCCTAGATATTTGCATCTTCCATTTTACTTCACACACTTTATTGTAACTTTAATTTAGTCATAATAATTTCGTTTCAATTTATTGATTTCATTAACTTCAATTATTTGATTTTCATAACGGCATATATAACAACCTCCCAGATTTTGACAGTCCTTTGGAAACTAACAGTCTATTTTATTCAACTTCATTACGCTTCTGATAATAAATCTGATAACAATTGTAATTACTTCAAAAACATTGTCACAGTAGGTTCAGTCACATATTTGCAATCCATCATATGACTCACTGAGTACTTATTTTCATAGCGAACACTCCTTGGTTCAAAAAGAATCATTATATTATAGGCTTTCATAATTCGTGATAACTACGTTAGAAATATCGATTACAAATGTTAAATTTCATTGAAATTTATGAAGGATCATGTTTTGTTGTTGTATTTATTCAAAGTTATAGAAATGTTAAGTAAAAGAGATTTTATTTTTTTGAAGTGTAGATAATTGTGTGCTCTTGCATGAAAGCTTTTTCAAGACCGACGTTATTATTTTAGCTAAGAAAACAACGACATACTAATGCAATTTACCAAACTTATTCCTAATAAGTTTACCAACATTTTGTCTTGCAAATTCTCAAATTTATACAAATGAAAATTTTTACACCTCTCCTCAAATTCTATCAATAACTCACCAAGATGTTGTAATAAACTTTGGGACCGCTTTTAGCGTTCAACGCTTATCGATTTCATTTCGACTAGCATTTTACATTTTTTTTGAATACCATGGATTAAATCCGTTTCTATTAAAGGACGATTATCATACTTGTTTTCCAATTGACAATGATTATAGTACGATGTCATCTGTAAATGATATTTTAACGGTTAACATAAAACTACCACTGCGTGATGATGAGGCCACTAAAGAAGGAGCGTTGCTTATGTTGAAGGAGATCAAACCATCATGGGAACGCGAACTTATTTCATTCAAAGTTAGTATTTACTTCCAAGTTTTTAAATTTCTAAAGTTTCTGGAAACTTTATTTTAAGAATATAATAAACCACAAAAAAAATGAAATTTAGGCTTTCACAGTCGGAATAACGAATAAAATCCTATGTGCAACATATACTCCAGTAAATGGTACCAAGCACGAAGAGCGACTATTGTTCCGAATCTATGGAAATAATACGGATAAAATCATCGACAGGTATTAAAGCTCAAATCAACGGTTTAGCATGTCGAATGTTAGAAGACATGTCAAATTAATCTGTCTGATTGACCTACTAATTTTAATTTGGATGGTTTGATCGCCTTTTTCTTTATGACCCAAGTTTTTGGATCATGAAGTTTAGAATTATGACCTGCTACATACGTTTGCAATATATTTGTGCCTGCTGTTATGGAAATAGACAAATAGAGTCCGAAGGTAAAATTATATGACCTTAAATAAGATATTTTTAGCTATTAAAAGTTTGATTAAAGGAATAAAGAATTCAACAACTGGTTATATTTGGCATCACACGGATGTGCTGCTCAATTATACGCAAGGTTCTCAGGCGGGATTGTAAGCGGCTTTCTTCCCGGAAATACGCTTACTGTTGACAACATACGTGACGAAACCATTGTCACGTATGTTATTCATGTGACCTTTCATTTTGTTTTCATTAGCATTAGTAATTATATTTAAATGAAAATGATAGATATTAAAAAATTTTCATTCACTTATATTGAAATTAACAGTATTACATTCATTTTAAATCTATTTTTGCTTGAACAGCAATTGAAGAGTGGCAAAAGCAATGTTTGAGTTATTAATTTTGTTGCATAACTTTACCTAAATTTTATAATACTATCTGGGGTACTGCTCGATGGCAAGTTAAATAGAGAAAAAGGAATTGATCCCAGGTTTTAAATGCATACTTTTCTTAAACTATAGTAGAATTCCACTGAGCACAACTAAACACTGTTAAGCATTTTCCAAACCTCAATGACCTTCCCTATTCACTTCTGTTCCTAAAATCAAAAACTATCAATTTTCCATAATAATGATACTTTCAGGAATATTTGTAAATCACTTTCAAGATTGCACAAATTAAGACCAGACACCGGTGAAGTAACAAAGCCAACATTATTTATCAAAATCAAGCAATTTTTGGCAAATTTTTCTGACCATTATGAGGTCATTCTACAGTTACTCTTAGTACTTGATTATACTAATTAATTAGGAGTAAGAATTAAACAATTGTACTCACTTCTACTTTTTCCTCGTATTTTTTTATTTCCCAGAATAAGCAAAAGCAGGAGAAATACGATGATTTCTTCAAACAAGGAGAGATTTTCTTTTTGCACGACTTGCAGCGTCTAAAAGACATTATTCAAAAACGACAATCAGAAGTTGTTTTCTGCCACAACGATCTCCTGATCCATAACATTATCCATGATGATAAGACAGGTCAGTTTTCTAATTTTGAAACAAGATTATAATAAACTATAATCAACTTTATAAATTTAATTAGTTTCAAGCTATAAATAGTAAGCATTGTTTTATTCTAGCAGTTGTTGTATGTTCTAGCAATTAGGTTTTTCTGGATGATTTAAAAATATTTCTTTGAAACTGGATTAAATCAAAAACATAAATAGTTCAATATTTTCATCTTAGACTTCATTCTAATAGATTTCGTTTACTTTCTTAAGCAGTAAATTGATTTTTTTTGCTCACAATCTATAAATATTTTCGTTTTTAAAACTTTTTCAAAATTCTTTCTTTACTTCAGACTCAATAAGTTTTATTGATTATGAGTATGCTGATTACAACTATCAAGATTTCGACATAGCTAATCACTTTTGCGAATATGCTGGTCAGTTTATGATCCTACTTTCGTAAAATGCTTGGAATCAGATCAAATGGTGAGAAAAAGCAACAACCGGCTCAATTAGCTGATGGCGGAAACACATGAGTGCGTTTCCAAGTATCTGAAACTATTTTAGAGTGACTGTTACATTCCAGAAGAATTATTATTATTCTTTTCATACTCAGAAATATTTGATTAAAGTATTTTGAAAAAAATGAAATATAATGAACAATATTACGCGCGAATACACATCCTCAGAGTTCGTGGAATGTCAGAAACGTTCTTGTTTGCGCATATTTTATTAATCTGCTAAGCAAAGATATCAGATTAAGAAATTTTCCATTTAAAGGTGTGGAGGATTTCAATTATTCTCGATGTCCTGATAAAAAATATAAGCGTGAGTGGATAACGAAATACTTGACACATTATCTAGAAAGGAAACCTACAAAAGATGAAATTGACAATCTCCTAGATGGAAACAATGTTTTCGAAGCGGTACATCATGAATTTACACGTTTTACTTATAAATTAATGAGTTTTTTCAAAAATGAAAATAAATGAGATTTCTTTGAATTTGATAATTTGGTGAAATATTTCAGGCTGCTCATTTCCTTTGGGCTCTTTGGGCGTTGGTACAATCTCAAATCTCAACTCTTGATTTTGACTATTTAGAGTAAGTTTTTGTAATTCCTTCTTATATTTATTATAAAGCGAACTTCCGGAGTTGGAGAAAAATTGTAAAAATTACAGAAATATCCGTATTAGCATAACTAATTTTAAATGAAATTTGTAAATGATTCATAACTTGTAAATGGAAAAAAGGTAATGAAAATGAAGAAAGATCCATCCAGTTCGGGAGTTAGGAGTTATGATGTATCCAAGTAGCTTTCGAGTATGAGAAATAAATCATATTTACTGCTTAGGTATTTGTCCTAAACTTCATTGTGATTTTTAGATACGCAATTCAGAGGTACAAACTCTTTCAGAAATGCATGTTCGAATGTGATTAAACATGATAACTCTGCAACATTATCTTTTTGAATAAAGAATCATTTTTTAATTTGAGTTTCATCAAAAGATTACTAACAAGCACTTTCTATTAATTACTGACTGGGCAGGACATACACAAATTTCATTTCTTCAAATATTCTGTTTCCCTTATCTGTTAGTGTAGTAAAAACACAAAATTTCCAATGGCCGTAATCATAAAGTATAGCGTGTGAAATGTAAAATAGATCTAAATGATACCGCATATTAAATTAACTTGTATTAAATGATAGTAAACAAGCAGCTAATAATTTTTTATGACGGTTTTTATAGACATGAAAATTTTAGCAGTAATTTAAAATCTGTTGGCCACTGAGCAGTTTGGGATAAATTAGTTTGAAGAGCTTAAGATTTTTTAAGATTAATTGGAAAATTATTAGTCAGATCTATGAATGCATTTTAATGTTTGTAACAGAGAAAAGCTGTAAGAACAACAGAAATACCCGCATTAGTTTAACGAATTCTAAATGAAATTTGCAAATGATTCATAACTTATCGGCTGGAAGGAACAAGGTAATGAAAATGGAGGTAGATCTATTCATGCGGGTCATCCTCTCTTAGTAATTCGGTATATCGTAATGCTAATCAACCAATTATAAATACTGAAACTTTGGAAATATTTTGATGACTGTATGAACATCATCCAAGCATATAGCTGAAGAGAAGAATTCAAATTTGGTTAAAAATTGATTTAATTTCAATTTGGTCTACTATTCAAGTCAGAGGTGTTTTACGCGAGATACATTACAACATGCAGGCTTTGTGGTAACACTTCTGGTAAAAATTTGAGAAGTAGAATTCCTTATTTTGTATAGTGTTGGTCTACAGTTTATAAAAACAGATACGCTCAGTAGTTGGTGGTCTTGCGACCATGATTCTGATAGCTTTCCAAGAATATATTGAGGAGTTCTGCACAATAATCTGTTTGGCCATCACGGTGTTGCAGAAGAATTCGGATCCGCTTGTCCTCGAGCACTGATGACATATATTTGAATATATAGGTAGAGCATTCGTTTTTTAATTCATCAAGATCATATCTCTAAAAATCACCAAAATTTCAAAACCATATCTGATATCTTTGGGGTGCATGAAGATCTTCATTTATTATTTCTGTGTCACATCGACATATGTTACGAAATCCTAAAAATTTCATTCATATATAATAAAAGCTATCTTATGTAAGTTGAAAAAAAATAATGAAAACATTGCAACGAATTACTGAGATTACAGAGTCACTAAGCTATGGTCATTTGTAGCGCGATTATACTAACAACAGCTTCTTTAATCCATATACTGATTATTTTATATTGTATAATATCTGTCAGTGATAGCATTCGAAAACCAAATTTTGGAAATAAAATTCGCAACAAAGAGTAAAAATTATTAAACTAACCATACTGAAAGAAAATATCTCAGCAATTGTCGTATTGTGTATCAGTAGTTTAATGCTTTTAATAACCTCACATTTCAAAGTATTGAGACCAAAACGAAGAGCAGCCTGAACAAGTTCCAATTGTCGTGACAATGAGTACTCATCCATTACTTCAAGTTGGCCACCGGAGTAAAGATACATCATAACAAGCTGCAATATTACTGAAATTTTTTCAAATATAGGTTTATAGAAGTATGTGTCATTTAAAGTTACTTTTGCAACCTTAGAGAATATCTTGTAAGTAAACATAGAAGTAATATTGATAAATATTTCTACTCCAGGCACTTTATTAAATCAGCCTTAACTTTGTATTGTGATGTTACATTTCTTTGCAAGAACAAAACAAACATGAAAAGTTTCATAGGAGATATTGTCGAGATGTATTTGATTGCTGTTATTATCTAAAAGTTTTCGGAAAATGTTGGATGTATTCGTCAAAACAATACGATGACCGTAAAATACTTTGTTTGCCACCTGAAAGTGCTCATGTAAAGCCTGTATGGCTTAAAATGATTTTTTAACCGGAACTGAAGAGATTTAAATTTTAATTCATTTGGTCATAAATATTTAGCTCTTTTTCTACTATACATGGAATATGGGCATTAACCAAGAAAGTAATATCGGAAAGATCAGGATTGTTGACATAGCTAGGATCAATCATCGATTTGTGGTTGTTGTTGCCTTGACTTTCCAAATTATCTGATTTCATTATTGTTGTGATCTGTCCAGCGCATATACGTCGATAAAACGAACTTATTATTGCAGCTGTTTGCCGTAGTTCTTTGGTCGCTGATGGACATTCCGAACGTATGATATCGAATAACTAAAATAAGATGTCAAATTTAAGTTTTTGAAATCTCATTCTAAAATACAAAAAAAAGTTGAAGGAATAAAAACCGTGCTGAAATTACCGAAGTTACATGCTTACAACCTCAAGTTACATGTTCAATTATCAAAATTACACGTTCATAACTTTCATTGTTTTGAAAATATTGATTGAAAATAGTAGAACTATTTAAGATGAAATATAATTATTATTTATTATATATTCCACATTTCTATTAATGATAAGTGATTCTACGTATCAAGAAGACTTCTCATTTTCCGCCATTGTGAAACTGGAATGTCAGGAATCATCACCACTAGAAGCTGCATATCGTTTCTTAAATAAGTAATCGACATCGCTGATGAGAATAACTTTAATTTTATTATGAACCGAAAAATCATTAATTTTAAATAAAAAAAAAATTTTTTTTGGTTTGAGGAGAAAAACAAGAAAATAACTAACAATGAAAGAGATACCAATTACTAAAATTTTATGACGGTTGGTTAAAACAAACCAAAGTGGCAGTTTCACGGATGTCGTCGTGCATTAGGTCATCGGCTAAACGGAAATTAAAATCATTGAGAAGTAAAAGTTTGTAATTTCGGGAAAGTTGTACACAAGCGGCTTGCAAGCAAGTCGTCCATGTATGTAAATTCCATGCTACACCTGAAATTTTCCTATATTTCGTATTATATTGAATTGTTTGAAACTTTATTTAAGCCTAGGTATAGATCAGATGGAAGGGCCTGGTAAATTCTGACTGCCAGGATTAGATCTTTTTTATGTCACATTTGCATTGGAAAATATTGTACTGTAAAGTGAGACAATGGAAGAAAGAAAATGAACTTCAAAACTACAACAAACATTCGAATCGAACCGATTTTGCGTAAATCCATAGCGATGTCAATGTGCCAAGTTTCAGCGGCGTAATACATTGCTTCATTAAGCGCCTGTTTTTGCTCTTTGTTGAAAATATCCAGAAATGAATGCATATTGCTAGAGGAAAGTTTCTAATTAATAAGAAAACAAGTTTTGGTTTTGATTTTTCATCCTAAGGATTACAAATAAATGTTATCACTTGACAATTTAGTTAACATTCTTTTTCCTAACAATCATATTAAAAAATTTAGAACGAAATGAAAGAATTCTGGATAGATTAACCTTTGTAAATTGAAAGAAGCTTTATTTTTATCGAATGCCATTTCATTTTGATTAAGGAAGTCTTTCAAACTTAAATTTTCCTCCGAACATTTGTAATTTGCTCCTAAATTGCTATTTTTTTTATTGAAATCTTATGAAAATTACAATTGTTTAAGGTTGAATTGAAAGAAAGAAAACAATTTCAATCTTCCAAAGAAGGTATTTTGAATTTGTCAGTTTCATTTATTTAATAAAACTGATATCGCAAAAATTCAGTGCATGGAAAAAAATTAGTACATTCAGAACACATCTGGCAATTCTATAAAGTGCAACATTTTCAAAACACTTCAACGTACACACATGCACATTTAACTGACAGACAGGCATTGATAATAATTTGATAATTTAGTCGTGAATAATAAATAGTGATAAATGATTTACCTGCAGAGAGCATCATTCTGAGTATGTTTCGATGGTTATATGCAGCTGCTAATGCAACAGCTGATGGCGATCCCATGTGGCGATAATTGCATTTCATGGAATCATAATTAATTGTCGTTCGGAATGGATTCGCATGGCATTTCAGTAATTTCCTAACAATATCTGCATCACCCAGTATCGCTGCTACCTATATTATCAGCAATCCACTGATACTTTATACATTCATCAGCTCAACTGAGGATTCGTTATTAAAAACAAGTCGAAAATTTCAATTAAAAAATGAATTTAATTGAAAAAGAAATCAAGAAAATCTTGATTCTATTTGAATTTTTTGATCTTTTTTTATATTTAATTAGTTCAAGAAAAGTGATAGAAAGTTTTTATATGTGATATAGACTAGAAAACACTAGAAGCATGTTAAATTTCTGTTCTAACAACAAAAAACGTAGGTAAAATATTATATAATTTGAATGGTAAGTAGGGATCATCGATCTCTGATCTCCGATAATTTGATGTAATTAGCATCTCTTCCATGAATTTAAAAAAACTGCAGCGATTGCAGTGTAAAATATTATATTCATTTATGACATTAAAATAAGCATATTTTTTCTAACCTGCAATGGAGTTTCTTTGGTCATTGAATTATTCTCAACTTGCGCACATGCATCAATGAGACGTACAGTTAATGGATAATTTCTTTGTGCAATAGCCCTAAAATTGGGGTACTAATTATTCAAAAATTTCTATCACTTATTCCAATTTATTATATTTTAAAGAGAAAGAAAGAGAGAAGGAAGAAGTCGACATAAAATTTACGTATAAATTTAATCAATGATATTTTTGATTTCTAATATTCCCTTTATCATTTTTTTCATCTTCACTCTCCGCTCAGAATCTTACTTACTTCGCTTTCATTTTTCAACTTTTCTTAAACTGCTTCGAAATGAAAAAGAATTAAAATTGAAAATTCACCATGTTAAGGATGTCCAACCAGCAAAATCCATCGAAAGAGCGCTTGAATTCTTTACATTTTGCTCATTTGGAACTGGAGTGTTTAAATCTGGCGTAGCCGATATTATTGCATTTGCTGCTCGGTTATTATCAATTAAGATTGCTTCTGAGAGCGCTGTTAAACCCTGAATTAGTGCTATTCATTATTTACTTTTAACAACAAAAAAAAATCACTCGATAGATAGTGAATAACTTTACTATATCATAAAAACTGTTAGTGAAATGAAACAATTAAGTCAAGCAATAGTGATAAATTTAAATTAAAAAAGAATGGATGCTGATCCATGAACTTACAAATGAATCAAGATTGCGCAATCTAGCTGGTCCAAGAAAATCCAATGCCATGCTAATAGTTTCTTCGGAGTTAACTCTTAATAACTGGAAAGCGATTTCTTGCGTTAATTTATGCTGGCTTTTCACTGATCCTTCCAAACTAAAATTATTTCGATGGATAGGACTAGATGATCACTTACATTCTTTGAAGACCAATATTTATTAGACGATTGGTCCGGAATATTATCATTTCTTTGGATTTCGAAATAAAATTTAGATCTTTCACTTTCGATTAAATAGTTCAATGAGCAACATTCGGAGCTTTTTTTCATGAGAATCATAAAGAACCGTTAAATAGATCTAATGGTATCCTGGAAATCATACGAGATTTTACTGCTTCTGAAGTCGAGAAACCGCGGAGGGCAGTCTATATTGAGTAAAATCCGAGCAGCTTGTCTTACATCATCCTCGTCAACAGTATCGGAAGCATGATGTGCTGCATATGCTTCTGATATCCTAATCCATTCATTAAGTGTCGAAGAGTTATAACTGTAAAACAAGAATGTCCTATTTTTCATTGCCTTATTCACAATGAAAAATTGTGATGACACATTAAAATATTTGAAAATTGAAAATTGATTACACCAAATTAGAGCTGTGGCCACCAAACTATCACTTGTGCCTTATCAACTTATCTCAATTATTAATACTACGTTGAAAAAGTAAGATTAGCAAAGTTAGGCTAGTTACTAATTCATTAAGTATATTGGTATCAAATTGGGTTAATAATGATGATCAAACACAAACTTATCCAATGATGAATTAGCATTGTCGCAGTTGATGGAATGTTTTGAACTGTTCAAAAAGTAGAACAAAGCTCTTGCACCATTTCGAGTAAAAGACAATTTTCTTGAAATATCAAAAGTTAAATTAAAAGTTTACCATGATACTGCGCAAGAAGAAATTTTAAGGCTAATAAAGGAATAGCTAAATACTGAGATTGCTAGATAATTTATGTTTCATATTAAAATTTGAAATTTGATGAAAAAATTTTCAAAAAGTGAACCTTGCAGGTAGATCTATTTCCAAATTCTCAATATTATTTCTCTCAATTCCTTTCATTTGTAGTAATTTTATTAGCTGACTTTCGTTGTTAGTACTTAATCGAGATAGCTTGTTCGAGCATCTTTGATGATTCGTCGTCGTGAAGTCAACTTCTCCTGCAATATTTTTTGTATCATACGAATTCTTATATCACTTCCTTTGTTAAAATTTGTGACCTTCTGTTTTATCTTCCAACTACCTCATCAGAATCCTTTCGTTTCGAACAACTTCATTGATTTCGTTTCGAAATAATTTATACATCTGATGTATATGACATAAAGTAAATGAACTGTATTTCTTTCACCTTCTAATATTATTCGTTCCTTGTTTTCTGCCAAAAATTTCCTAATATTGTTTTCACAATCCAACATTTTATTCAGTGCATCTGTTGTTACGTTACCTTCGTATGCTATAAATATTCAAATTAATGATCTTATTCTTTGAGCTTCTTTACTCAATGGATTGTCAGTGAATCGGAAATCATCTACTCATCACATTCATTAGAAAGTTATTTAAAATTGAAAAGTTACATAAAATGAATATGTCAATACCATTAACAGTCAAACTTGGTATTAATGAGTTCAAATTAAAGAAACAATTTAGAAAATTTAATCAATTACATTTTGATTCAACACAAGCAAGAATTATTTCTTCCAAAAGGCATTCCAACACAGCACACAGAAATACCGCAGCCTGTAAATTATAGAAAAGTAATTCGAAAATTTTCTTTGATAAAAGTAACACTACTAATTTGGGGATAGCAACTGATAAAAGTGGATAATTTATCTTACTTCATCCAGGATAATTTCACTGATTTGGCTTTCGATCATCCATTTGTAAAAATGTCCCAAGTTGAAACACAACCCGGCCCGTCGTTGCATGCTTGTTTTTAATGCACCAGATCCACTGAGAGCATAAATTGAAGTTGCCTGAATTCCAGCTTTAGTGCAACTTTCTGCTACAGAACCATTGAACAGTACCTGGCAGAAAAAAAAGATAAAATTTCGAAATACGATAGAAGTTCAATATCGTTATCTATATGGTTGTCATAATGAAATTTGTCATTGAAATGATTACTTATTATGTTACTTGATCATTGCCAATTTGCATAATTAGCTTAATAGAGTGAAAGTGACAGCGATGATGAGATAGTGAGAAAAACAATGTAATAATAAATTCAACCTTTACTGCAGTCTTGATATCCAAGACACGGCATTTAATAAATTGCAAAGAAAGACGGCGAATCTCATCAACTAAGGCATAAAGAGCATTTTCCAAATATTTCTTCAATCTAAATACAAATTCATTAATCCTGCATAAGTTTACATATCATAAAATGCAATTTTCATATATTATCACTTTGACATACGTCGATAAAGACTTCCATAAAAATTTACTTTAGTACTGCTTGACGGTTAATAATTTGACAATGTTCTTTACATCTTCCTCGTCTGAACACTTCCATTATTTCTCCTTCGCTAAGATCAAATTTCTTTATTTTTTCACTGCAATAGCTTTTCACTTTTGTTTTTACAATTTGAACAGTTCATTTAGTGGACTACTCTTAGGTGTATTTGTATCATATATACTCTTTGTATTTCGATATCCAATTGATCTTTCAAACAGAATTTTTGTTGTTAAGAAGAATTTAATTTTCAGTTAGATTGAACATAGTCTTTTTGTCGCACAATTAGCGATTAATCAGTTTTTTGTGTCAAATTTTATTAATCAATATAAGATATGTGTAAAATGAAGAGCAAACTTTATTGTGATAAACGATTTGCTTAGCGGGTTATTGCCGGTATCTTTTGGTGATGTGAAAACGAATTCTCGGGATAAGCATTCGAAGTCATAATTTTGTATGAATGGACGACTTGAAGTTGTACTGCATGTGCTATAATGGCTAATTTGAAGAGGAGATGATCTCTCTACTGATGAACAGTTCGCAAATACTATCGTTGGTTCGTGAACTCGTTCAGTAATATGTTCACGTCGTTGATGGCACATAGCTGTAAATTAGTTATTAATATCTAGAATGTTCAAAATAGGATCAATTTCTTCTTATAGAGGTTTCTACTAAACTATTCAAAGTTTAGCCTTTACCCTGAGTCTTACTCGGAGATAAATTAAAAAGTCATGGTAGAGACTAACGTTTCTATTCCGAACAAACAAACTCGATCTCCTCATAGTTCAATCTTCGAAAAACAGATTTTCTTACCAAAATTGGATTTTTTGAGAGCTATTCTCCAGTTCAATGACTAAATAAACAGAATTACCCTTCTGAGAAGAGGAATAATCGCTTCTTCGATGAAGCAACAAAGTTGATAACGAATGAGACGGCATACGCGGTGCGGAACGATAACCGCTATCGGTGGGTGATGCTGTTGTGTCCAAATATGGTGAACTATTATGGACTGCATTTCGTGCTGATTCATAGCACATATTCTTCCGGCATAAACTGTTCGCATGATAAACGGCACTAGAAATAAATTGAGCACAAGCTGAAGATTAATTTTAAGCAGGTGAATGTTGCGTGAATGGAAAAAAGATAAAATAAGATGGCTTTTATGAAATTTTAGAAAGACTTATTTTGTGTTGAATAACTTTGTAGACATGCCATTTTTTTTATAAGAAACAAATTCTTACCGTTATTCGGAACTTATTTCGGACTTTTCAGAATTGTATTAATTTTTTAAAATAATCGATGGTCTTTTGTATTGGAGAATTTATTTCTTTTCTTATGAGCTAATAATTACGTTGCATTGATATTGCTTCACTTTACTTGCTCTTTCTAATATTCTTCAAAAAGAGTAAAATTTTTATTCTTATACCAAATTCTGATGAAAAAAGTGATACTGCTAATAATTACCTGTTCGCTTCCCTGGGATTTTCTTTGTAAGTTGTACTCAAATTTGGTACACTTTTGTAAAGCTGTCGTATTTGCTCAAATGTGTTAACCGATTCTGTATTGGGTTGCAAAGGTAGTGTGCTGCGGGGTGATGATACATGCTGAATCATAAATTCTGATTTTTGGATTTTTGTTGAACAAAAAGGGATCCAATGTTTTTTCAGTTCTTAAACCCTAATGTGAAAATCAAGAAAAACTGATTAATATGTAAAATTCTTTCTTCCTAGATAACAAATCTATTTGGCAAGTTTATTTCATAATTTCACTTTAAAAGCCTTTATTAAAAATTCAAACTAAAATTAATAAAAAAAGTTTGTAGGCAGAAGACATTAATTCTTTGTTTATTTTATGAAAATATAACTTTTTTCCATAAATTCTCATATAACATTACTATTATTTCTTAATTTAAAATGATAAAAAAATTTCTGTATATTATCCAATTTAAAATATATTATCCAATTTATATTATATTATTCAATTTATAGTATATTATCCAATTCATATTATATTATCCAATTTATATCATTCAATTTTTCTTTTGAAAAAGGTGAACAAAAAGGATTTTGTTGCACAATAATCATAACTATTTGGTAATGAATGAACTTATGAATTATATTCAACAACTGAAACTTAATAGAACTTTTTATAATTTAATGTTTCATACGAGGATTTCTGGTTATTCCATTGTTGAATGTTTAATCTTTGCTAACCTTTTTCTTAATTATTCCCAAGTTTTAGTCACATATGAAAAGAATTAAATATACAAAATAGAAAGAGAGAGAATGGGCATGTAAGTTAATGAATTAAAAGATCAGATATAAAGATTATATGAAATAAATTATCATCAATATGCAAATAATGATATTACCGTAGCAAAAGATATTGATAACCGTTGACTTCGCCTGTTCCGATACTGCTCCGAATTTGAATAATAAATAACATCATCTGCCGCGTCAATATAATTTGAACCCTGATTTTCGTCTTTTTTTCACTTTTCAATTTCAAACTTTTTTCATTTAATATATATTTTTTAATTTTAGTCAAATTAGATTGACAACTGAAATTCATTCGAATCGTTTATTTTTTGCCAATTAATATCAGTAGTAAAATATATAATGAAATTCACAATTTTTCAACTCTCAAGGGACTGAAAAACCAATTTACGGATCTTATGTGGATCTGTAACTTGATCGGTATTTCAATGTTTAAAAGGAATAACCTGTTTTTTAAATGGCAGTAAGAAGTGAGAAACATGAGATAGAACACTTGGTCGCAGTGTTTTCAAAGCCTGAATCAACTTATCAGGTAATCTCGTTTCGCCATTTCTATTGCGTCCATTCTTTTTGTCATTAAGTCGGCATCCCAGACGCGGCATTTTTAAACGAGATATCTGCAGCTTTAATTAAATAAGTAATGAAAAAAGGAAATAATTATAAGAGTTAAAAAAAAATTTCAAAGGTCAAACATTAAAATTTATATTTGATCTTTAAGCTATCTTTCATCAATAAGTTTTATATTTGATTTAACAATAGCTTATTTATTTACTATCTTATTGTACTTATGCTAAAAAAAAATGAAATTATGAATTACATAGTAATGGGTTGAAATATGAAATAAAGCTTAAAAGCTCAAAATATTGTGAATCATTTTTTGATAAACGATATCGAATATTAATGATATCTTCCTAAAATTCTTTGTCATAAATTTTTTTGAAAAAAAATCTCCCAATTTTTAACATTTGTAGATGAATTTAATTATTAATAAAGAAATACGACTTCCTCTTGCAGCGACTAAATTATCAGAAAGTACAAAAACTAAGTGACATCGAACATTCTCTTTTATCGATGATAATTACTCTTCAATACATTTCGTAAAGCGATTTCGTCATCTACCTTTCATGAATCAAGGTCGAAAATGAAATTTCACAATTATCTGTAAGAACTGCGATGCTTGCATCTATCATTAATTTCGAAAATTGTTTAGATCATGAATTATCTTGCCCCAACTATAACTGCAAATTTAGATGAAAGAAATTAACCCTTTAAATATGATTTAAATTTGAAGCACGTTTGACTAATTATCTGTGAATTTGGGGAAAGAGAAATCTGAACAGTGAGACAATCAAAACAAGTAATTTTGCTCTCATTTAATTTTATTTAATGCATTATCGAAATTCACAACGCATGCAAAAGACGATCAAAAAAGAAAAATGCAAGAATGAAACCAACTGCTCTAAAAAATATTTAACCAAAAATTACCAATTAAATTTTAAAAAAGTGAAAAAGGATGAAATTTGAAAGTTCTGATGTTTCTTATTGTAATTTAATTATATAAAGTATTGAAATAAGTTGTCATCACTGATCAAACAATTTGTTATTGAACAGTGATAAAATTGATAACGAGAAATCTTTGGTGTTGTTGTTGTTATTGGAAGTTTCTCAAAAAATATCAGCCGTTCTAAAGTTGCAAATCAATAATTTTCATTAAATCCCATTTATTTTATTAAATAACAAGTTATATTAAGAGCGTATTTACATATACAATATGTAAATTGTCACTTTCTTGTTAATTAATTTCCTAACATATCATCTGTGACACATATATTGGTGTGTAATTTATTGCTTTCTATTTAATTGTGCGATAAAGTTTGATTTAAACAAGAGAACACATTCTGAATCTCAATTAATCTCATCAAACAACATTCTAGATTTAACACATAGGTTGTAAAAAATTTCCGATTGGTAATAATGTCTAATATTTGGTAAAAACATTGGTCAATCAAAAAAGTCTTTCTTTTTCTACAGCATATCCTTCCTGTTACAATAATGTTTTTTAATGTAATGACAAAACAAAACTTTAAACTGAAATTTGACTCTATTAAACTTTTGTTGTAATAGATTTATAACTTTCCAAACTTAGCTCCAGGCTGACAGCCAGACCCATTTATGATTTTCATAGCTTTAAATCAATTCAATAAATTGAAGAAGGGAATTTCATGAACCGCTTTGTTGTTACAGCTTAACAAGTGAACAAAATTGTAGTTCATCAGAATGCCAAAGAAATCATCCTTGAAATCTATCATAAATTATAAATTAGTTTAAATACAATAGACTTCATTCCATTTTATACTATAAATCAGCGACAACAACTTTTGACCGTTATTCCGCTTCGATTTTTCTTTTGAGTTACTTAGAATTTTATTTTAGTTTAAAAAAAAATCGAAAGCTTTTTCAATAGAAAAAATACTATGAGATTCAATAATTATGTTTTACTTTCCACCCTATGTTAGAATGATTGTAATTTGGCATCTAAAATAATACTTATCAAATTATTCTATAAAAGCCAATATCAAAAATTATCACTATTCATACTATCGCTATTTTTCTTAAAAATCGATAAAAAAACCAAGTTATTTATAAAATGTCCTGAAAACTTTTTGCCAACAAAAATATCACTGGCACTTAACTATCTGAGCAAACTGAAACAGGTGGATTAAATGTTTAAAAAATACTAATAGCAATAGCGCATAGTTATGAAATTTTGGAATTATTATTGAAAATTTTTCTTTTTTTTGAAAGATATTTTTAATTTTTAGGATTTTGATATTTTCTGATAAATGATAAGATTGAGTGTAAAAAAGGATATTAAAAAAAAAATATTTGCATAACCGATGATAACAGCCATATTTTTTGTGTCCATTATCAATAAGCTTTGAAATAATAATCACAATGATGCTTATTTAATTAGAAATTTCTAGATGCGCTATTGTAACACCACGTAAAATGATTCTCGCATACTATTTTTTTTTTGTCGCGGAAATTTTTCATAAATCAAGAAATGATGGATGTTTAAATTATTTCATTGATCTGTTGTGTGAACCTCTTTTTCCTTTTCTTATCGAAGAAAAACTGTAGTCCTGCCACCATATCTCTCACCAATATAACGATCAGGCATCAATCGAAACCTACATATCTGAGTGCGCACAAATGCAGATCACTAATGGCTTTAATCGACATTTTAGACTCTGCAAATATTTTAGAATATAATATTAAAAGATAACCATATAGTAAGATGGAAAGTTGGTATGATTATAGTACGAAGAAACAAAAAAGATATAAAAGAGAATTTCGAAATAGATTCTAATGTATCCTGAAATGGCATCTTCTAGGGTAAGTTCAGTATTATGAGGCTTAGATCATAATGGTGGTAGAATAAAAAATCAAATACTTTTGGAAATTAATGATGATTATTTAGGGTAAAATGTGATGAAAATGTTTTTATTCAATAACAAATGAGAAATAAATCATTTGTTTGTAATTTAATATGCAAAGAGAGACAGGTGGGAGAAAAATGGGCAATATTTGCGAAGTAGTTGAGGACATTGACATATTAAAAGAGAAAATTTCTATTGATGATACAGCAAATGGGAAGCCATTTACTGTGTCATCAATAGGTTTCGGCTGGAACTATTTTCAATAATTTTTTAACAATGAAATACAGAGAGAAGTGAAATGAAAGAAGAATTCAACAAATTTTCGGAATAGCATTCCGTTTTTAGCATATCGAAATATTTGAATAACTTTTTTCCTCTAATTTTTCTTTAATTTTCTTTCGAAAGAGAATAAACAAATAAATTCTTAAAACTTCAAATGAATATGTTTCACAAGTTGCATATACTTTTCAAATATCTTTGGAAATCATAAGATGTTTAAATATTAGTTCAAATAAGTGCTAAGAAAGAATGATCAAGCCATAATTGAATATAACACATAGCTGTCAGAAGGATTATATGAATGGTGAGTAAAAATAATAAAACATTACAAAAAGTTTTTCTTCTCTGCCTTACGAGTTTTTGGAGCAAAGGAGAAGATCGATGTAATTTAACATAACGATTTGTATCCCACCTGGAAATTTTAATTTGTTTTTTTAAACAACTGCAAATAGAAAATCTTTCGGCAAAATTGAGTTTAAGAATAACAATAGCTAATAGTATAAAAGCATGACAGAAAATATATTCGAAAGTTTCATGAGATGAGAAAATACCGTTTCATGTTAATCTGCAAAAGGTAAATGATTGGCTCAACTCTATTTAATCATAAAATAGATCGTGAAGAAACTACCAACATAGTTACCCTTTTTTCGAATGACCAATGATGTCATATTATGTTATCAGATTTCACAGCCAAAAGATGAAATGTTGTTTGAACAGTCCCGCTAATGCGATCGATCTTCATCGAGATCGATAGAAAATATGTGCATGTGTGTTTGGTGACAATTGTTAACATGTTTATATATGCAATCATATAACCTTTTGTATCATAAATCGATTTGTTGTAATATTTTCAACAATAGTTATCGCTTCGAATCATTAATTATCTATCTAGGATTAACTTGTGGCAATCGTTCCTATTACTCTCACTTGATAAATTATTAACCATTCTTTCTCCTTAGCAGTGCTTCATTAATGCTGCAAACTTTTTACAGTTTTGCAAAAATGAACTTATATTTCTATAAGTCAAGTTTTTGGCTGAGTTTAATTCGTTTTTAATTCATACACGATAATTTACTTACCTGAAGCAGCGTGTAAATACTTCGTTTAGCTTCATGTATAAGCCTGAACAGGTAAGGCTTATGATTAAACGTTACCAAGAAAAATTTAGTCTTTAAAAATGATAGATAGTACTGGATAACTTCTATATTTTGGTCTCTGTTTCAAAAAAGAAAAATGGCATTAGATTCTCTAAACAATGTCAAATTGATAATTTAGCCTCACAATAGCAGAGAAATCAATGCGAAGATAAAGTACTTGTTGTAATCTGTAATAATAATTATTTTAAATTAGTCAAATGGCAGTGTGATTATTAGAACTTTCAGGTATTTATCGTGTGGGAAATGTTTTTACCCGTCATTTGGAAATTTATAAAATAATAGTCAATGAAAATGCAAAACGATTGAAACAATTTGATAAGATAGGAAGTAAAATTGATAAAAATCGTTTTTTTTTTCCTTTCGTTTTGAAAAGATAAAAGTTGTAGGAAAATATTCATCCAAATTAAAAGTTTTGAAAATCAAAGTTTTGCTTTTTTTTCCTGTTTTAAAGCCATTTACTCAACTGCAGTTATATCAGAATTTTTTTCTCCTATAAAACAGGATACTTAAATTAGTCTAAGGATTTTCGGAGAAAGTATCGATAAAGAATTCTCGATGAAATCGATCATAATAACATACCTAAACTTCTACAATTTCAGACTGTATGGTAGCAAAATAAAAATTGAGCATAACCATAAGAAAATATTTAACTAAATCTGTTTGCTAATAAATTCATTCATTCAATTTCAGTGCATTCCTTGTAATGAATTAAAAAGCAAAAAGACC